TTTCTTCAACTTGCATTTGCTAACTTTATATTGCCTTTTCTGTCCAACTAGTTGGGTGATACTAAAACAATTAGACCCTTTGCCCTCAAGGGCCACAGGTCAATAGCCCATTCGGCTCTGCCCAATGGGCTATTGACCCATAGCCCTTGCGGGCTATGGGTCTAATTGTTAATTAGCCACCATGTAGGTTGATGAGCCCCGAAATAAAACGTATCATTAAAATGTTAAACTCAGTAAATATGTTTGTTATTGAGTGTGTGTGTTGATAGAGGAATGGGTCAGCTATCACCAAGTGTGTGAATAATGAGATTTTGATTGTGGTCTGGCACTAATGAAAACCAGGCAAACATTACTTGTATTTTCTTGGCTAACTAGTCTGTGCTAATCTCTGCTCAACACAAGCCAGTTTAGGACTACATTATTTTTGTACATATATTTGAGATGTTATTCTTTATTTATGCTGGCCATTAATTTCGATAGAAGCTTTACCTAAATACATGTACCTTATATGTCCCTAAGGAAAGCAATAATCCTGTATTAAAAAGTAAAAACAGTCTGATTCTTAACTTACTTTTTGAAGTAAAGTCACTTTATATAAACTTACATGTACATGTATTATTAACGTAATCTGTAAGAAATCTTTGCATTATGTAATATACAAATTTACTTTTTGACCTTTCTGTTAAGGATCGCATTACAGCTCTCAAACAAGAGAATGACCGTCTTAAGCAAGAAGCTGACAAACTTAAATCAGAGTTGGAATACTGGGAAGTCAGAAATGGATGTAAGTACCGGGTAAACAGAGAGTGTACATAATGTTTTATCTTGTGACCTAAGAAAGTAAAAGTTACCTGAAAAAAATTATACAGTCATATAGCTATTGCTTATCAACCCAGAGAGATACATTGTGCAATTGCAAGGAAGTTTTCACCTCTTGGCTTGACAATACAGCACTGATGATGCTTTTGTAAAGAAGGCCTTAGTCAATCATTTTGCAGTTCCTCTAACACAAGAATTAATCAAGTAATTTGTTTCAATTCTCAGCAAGCAACACACATTTTTTAAAGTCATGTACACATAGTATGTGAGCTGGTGTTCATGTAGCTTGATGCAGAAGTGTTATAAACAGTTTTGATTAATTGTTCAGTTCTAGAGAATAGCCATGTTCCCCCCACAGAAGGGATTGGAATTTCCTGGGGGGTGGGGTGTTCTATGAGACCAAAAAATTTAAAGAAATGTATGAAGCTCAATTGGAATTTCCAGAGGGGTGGGAGAGGGGGACTTAGAAAAATTCCCTTCCGTGGGGGAGGTATGGATATTTTCTGGAACTACACATTACACTGAACTTGGCTACAGTCTGTGTGTTCCAAATGAACAAATGTGAGATTTTGAGGTCGAGAATTAGACTAATCTTTTTTGCACCGCTTTCTTAGCCTTACGAAATAAACCAACTCTCCAAAGAGGGATGGCCAAAATTGTGAGATGGCAAGACTGGTGAAATATAGATACACTGTACTACTGTATCATTTAAAAAAAAAANAGCGAAGCAAAAACCAGCGGCAAAAATACAGGAACACGTTTTTCTATTACATTGAAGACCACATGCAAAAATTCAGCTAATTTGGAGCAAGAAAAAAAGAAAAGCAACCAAAATCGTCACTTATCCCTTTTTATGACTAGCTTCTTCATGTATGCTACTGGTCACTTACACTGGATTTTTTTTCCTCAGTAAGACAGGTTTCTCTTCCAAATTTAATGCAAGGGATACCTTCTGGAACAGAGGAGAAAGTTGAAATTCAAGCAGCTGAACAAGCTGAGGTTAAACCTGAAAAAGAACAAGAGCAAAAGCCAGAAAAGAAACCGAAGAAGGAAAAAGTGGAGAAGAAAGGAAAAGACAAGAAACCTGATACAGAAGGTAACTGTACAGAAATGTTAAGCTTTGTTAGCTTTTGTTTTTGTTTGAGATGCAGCACTGTCATTAATTTTTTAATCACCTGTAGCCTTGATCTTCACACCCTCCTGTAACAAACTTGTTACCTTTTGAGTGAATTGTATCAACAACAGGCAAGTTTACAATTTACATTAAGGGCCCATCAAACTTACTTAGCTGCAGCTGGTGTTACAGGTTATAATAAATGGCCCTTGTTGGCAGCTGTGCTTGGCATAATATTAATTTTTAGCCAGTACTAGACTGTGAGCAGTCTGTCTTTTGGTTGTTTAAGATTCGCAAGAGAATAAATGCAAAGCAATGAGGTGAGGTGAGTGGTGAAACCGCATGCCTCGAGTAGCGCAGGTGTTGGAAGACAAGCAAAAACAAGTTGCAGCTTGTGGCTTTGCCACTCACCTCTGTTCATTAACGTTCTTCAGATTTTCCAACAAAAAAGAGACTCCTCACAGTTTAAGCCAATACTACATTTACCTTCGACCTTTTGTTCAAAGGAAGTTTGAGCAGCAGCTATCCCAAACACACATGTATACATGCAAATTTTTATTAAGATTTGTCATTCAATAATCATTTAAATATCTTTTTGGAGTGCAGCATACTGTACAATCATGTATTTTTATTAATGGAATGTCAAAAGAACATTGTACCATGTCTGCTAGAAGTAACTGCCAAAGTGTTTTTCTGTTCTTTCTTTTTAGTATAGATAGACTAGGAGTATAATAATTATTG